GTAGCTTTCCTGTTTTCTAGAGACCTTTTGAGGTTGCTTCTATTCTCCCTGCTAAGACTTGCCAAGGGAAAGATAAGTATAAGGACATTCTAAGCCAAGGTTATTGAGAAATGCAAAAACTATAACAGGAACAGGCTCTCAAATCTTAAAAGTGTTGACACAGTTCATTCAGCTCATTCTACCGAGCTTGACTCGAGTTATCATTCCTGATAACACTGGCTTTTCTCAGGTTAGGTCCTCCAAATGTTTGGATTATATCATCCAAGATATTCCTATCATTGTATATATTGGCTAGAGAAAAAAGGAGATGCAATCAGGAAGCCTGTATTGCATAATTATTAAAGGCTGTTTCCATGGCCTTTAGCAAGTAAATTCCATCCCTATATGTTTGCATGCAATATCATAATACATGTATCAAAAGATGACATCATAATGCCCATTTTGTTATTTTGTCATTACTGTAGTTACAAAGAGATGTTTATGGCTTTGCCACAGACCATATTCTCTCCTTTTCTCCATTTTCCACCTGATGTTTCTGATTTGGGATTGCTAAATCATCTCTTCTTTGAAACAGTCTAGTGTTTGCCAAAAACAAAAATAAAAACAACAACAAAAAGGCAGAGCTACTTTTAAACTGTAGATTTCTACATGTGGACCATGGGTGGGTTCCTGCCAGTTCTAACCTCTTCTATAGAAGAGGTTCCACAAATCTACCGTGCTGCTTAGAACCAGTTCCAGCTCCCTCCACCTGCCCGTCCGCACATCATCAAGATGAAGAGCAAGAGGAAGAATTCTGGGAGTTGAAGTCCACAAGTCTTAAAGCTGTCAAGTTTGAACACCGCTGGGTTTTTTTTCCTAAAGGGTTAGGGGTGCAAGGGTCTTGTAACTTGACAGCTTTAAGACTTGCGTGCTTCAAATGCCAGAGTTTCTGAGCCAATATTTTGGTTGCTAAGCAAGAGCGTTGTTAAGTGAGTTTCACCACATTTTACAAGTTGGCCATGCCCATCCAGTCACATGACTGCCAAGCCACACCCACAAAGCAGGCCACACCTACAGAAGAGGTTCTAAAAAAATTTGAAACCCACCACTGATGTGGACGTTTCCTCATAGTATTAATGCAATGAAATCTATATGGAAGTATATCATGACATGATACTGGGGGCAGGGCAGTGGTGGGTTTCAATTTTTTTTAGAACCTCTCCATGTGACTGGATGGTCCTAAAATGGTAGTGATCTATTTGGATCATCAAGCAGATTTGGATCATATTAGTTAATTTAGTATAGTCCTGAATTCTTACTATTTAGCAACAGCAACGCCTTAAGCCTACATATTCTACCACTGTCCCATTCACTGCCAAAATGTTTGGAAGTGGTCTGAAGGGTAAGATATGTTTGTCTTCATTTCTGCTGATACGACATAGGAGCACAAGCCATTTCATGCCCTGAGCTTTTGGAAGTTCATCCACCCCCCTAAAAGGTGGGGGGGAAAGAAGAAAAATATCATTTGGCATTTTGCAAATTTGCTGCTTTTCTGCTGTGAACAAAGGGGAAACTGAAAAACCAAATCAGTTTTACCCAGCTGTTTCCTTTACATTATTGAGGGAGAAAGACCTGCAGGTAAAGTCATGGAGCAGCATTTTCTCTAATGTTCAGAAACTAAGACAAAGGATGGAATGTAGCTCCCTCTCTTAACAAACCTAAGGAAATGGGAATATGACAGGAAAAGTATGACAGCTTAGAAAAAAATAAATGTTGAATGTAGTATGGTTTGATATGGAACATTACATCCTTCATGCTGGAACGACATTTCTCTCTTTTGAAAGCAGAGCCAGAGATTTTAATTTTTTGATCAATAAACTCCTGTAACCGGAAAGCTTACTTAAGATAATAAATCTTATGGTGAGTTACTTTCCTCATATGACTAGTATTTGCATGGTGCCAAGAGCAGTAATGGTTGGCATTGACTGGCAGAGGGCATACCTAGGTTCAGATTCATCTTCTCCCATCAAAGCTTTATTGGAAAACTTTGGCCTAGTCACTTTCTCTCCACCCAACCTACCTCACAAGGTTGTTATCATGGGGAGAAGTGGAGAAAGGAAGGCTGCAGAAGAACATCCAATTTGTAAAATGTCTTATGCTTAATTCTAACAATGAAATAAAAATATATAAATTAGTAGCCTGGAGTACTAATTTGAATAATATTTCAAACATTCTGAAGAGTATTGGACCATGTCTTTAATCACCAGTCACAGGAAGTCATTAAGAATGAACAAACAATCAAAAGGCCCTCTGAAACGGAGCGGAGCAATATGATGTCTAAAGAAAGTCTTTAAAATGTATCCTTTATAGCTTCATCTTGAAATATAAACCCACTAATTCAATTGTGCAAGATATCAAGTGAAAATGGTGGCTCTTAAGTGAGAGTGACCTAACGTGAGAATATACAAAATACTGTCAAGCTTTGAGTTTACCTAAATAAGTGTTACTGAAATCAACAGGATGGCTTCAGTTTATTTTAAAAAGTGTTATTAAAATACTGTTGCACCTTTTAATGTAACAATTATGGACGCCTTCATTTTATTGTTCTTTTCCTTCTTACCTGCAATCTCTTCTGATTTTAAGATTGTGTCTCAGAAGAACCTGGAGAATTTGCACCACCCTTGAGTATGAGTACCCACCCCTCCATTCAATTAAATAAATTAAAGGTATCCTCTCAATCATGATTATATGATGAGATATGGTTTCTAGTATTTAAAAAGTCAAGGACAGCCTCAGATCTGCAAAAGCCAGTGTGCTCAGATATGTCCAAAACCATACTTCTCAAATCACTTGCTCTGCAGTATTTACAGGGCCGTGGGCTTTTCTCCAAATTAGATTCCCAGAAAATCATAATCATAAACACTAACACATTCCATCTGAATTCAAATGTTGAAGTAAGTTAAATGGGAGTCATAGCAGAAAGCTTAAAGTTTAAAATAAAATTAAATATAACACAGATTTTACAAGAGAAATGTAGCAAAAGCAAAGTTGTTCCTTGTTTTTTGACTGAGGCAATAAAATCCCAATTCAACACAGAAAGAAATTAAACTAATAAGTGAAGGAGATAAAATTTTCTCAATTGACATTAAGCTGAAATATTAGTAGCTTGGGTTGGTTTGTTGTGGATTGTTGTTTGTTTGAGCTCTGAGTTTGGCAATTTGGTTGCAAACATTTCATCCCCATTCAAGGAGACATCTTCAGTGCGCTTTGGATTGACAAAGCGAACAATCCAAAGCGCATTGAAGATGTCTCCTCGAATGGGGATGAAACGTTTGCAACCAAATTGCCAAGCTCAGAGCTCAAACAAACAACAAAACATTAAGCTTTTCTTAGTTTGAGCTTTTTGAAGTAGTGTATGTCAGAAAGCAGCAAATAGAAAAATTATGGGAAATAGGCATGTGCAATTAAAAAAAAAGTAACCTGAAATTACAGGAAACAAGTTAATAAAGAAACAGGCTTACAATTATATATATTTTATATCTTTTCCATTCAATTTGTGAATTATAAATCACTTGAAATGAGCAGTTTAAAGAGCAGAATAAATTGATCAATTGAAAACATGAAAATAAGAAAAAATTAAAACAAGGTGAGCAAAGCATGTGAGCTCATTTTCTTTTGCAGCACACAGAGGTTCCCCAGCCAATCCTTTAACTACAGGTAGTCCTCGACTTACAACAGTTCATTTAGTGACCATTTAAAGTTACAATGCCACTGAAAAAGTGAAATGACTGTTTTTCACACTTAAAAACTACCTATATAGCCATCCTTTCTTTAGTCAGCTGAAACTGAGCTAAGCTCACCAGATCATGATGGAGTTTAAAAAGATCTCCATTCAAACCTTTTGAATCTTTTGCTAAGACTGTGCAATCAACCTTCTGTATAGGCAGTCCTCAACTTGCAACTACAATTGAGCCCAAAATTTAAGCTGCTAAGTAAACATCTGTTAAGTGAGTTTTGCCCCATTTTATGATTTCCTTGCCACAGTTCTTAAGTGAATCATTGCACTTGTTATGATGTTATGACAGTGAATCTGGTTCACCCATTGACTTTGCTTGTCAGGTCGCAAAAGGTGATCACACGATGCCAAAGCACTATGATTGTCATAAATATGACTCCCTTGCCAAGCATCTGAATTTTGACCATGTGACCACGGGGACACTGCAATGGTCATGAGTGTGAAAATTAGTCACGAAACATTTTTCCCAGGCCGTTGTAATTTTGAATGGTCACTAAATGTATTGTTGTAAGCCGAGGATTACCTCTATTCACTTACTCTTATGAGAGTTCCAGAGGTTTGCACTCCCCCACTTCATCTTCTGTAATTTTCTTGCAGAGAAAATGTAGAGAAAAGGCAAAAATGCTTTTGGATGGAGTACCTTTGACAACCCCATTTTGTTTCCCCCACTCTATTGAATAAAGCCCACTTCAAAAAGTAAAAAGTAAATCGGTACCAGGAAATTGCAACCACAAAAGTTTCCCAACTGATCTAAAGTTTTGTAGCTGCTTGAAACAAATTGGAATTTGATGGGCATGTCCTATCCAGAAAATTTCATGTTTTTAAAAGCATATAAATATTCAGTAACTCTACTGGATGAAGTAATGGGAGTTCACATATTTTTCTAAAAACAGTGGGTTGGGGAAACAGAGCTTTAAACAGTTTAGTGTAAAAAAAATGACTTCTTTTAAAGAAAAATATTATTAATGTGACCACCCTTCTGTTTTATTTTTAAAGTTACTTCCTTCCCACTGAAAGTTACAATTTCAATTATAAGCCACACTATTACAATTTCAATAGAGATATTGTCTAATACAAAACCACTGAGTGTAAAAACATGACTGTAACTTTAAATTTTTATATTCCGATAATTTACAGGTCCAAAAGTATTTTATGTACCTCTCCAAGCATCAAGGTTACTTGTTGAGTAAGCCAATATTTAACTTCCCAGTGAGATTAAATGTACGAATACATCTACTTTAAAGACAGATTACAATGAAGCAATTATTCATAGAACAAGATGGATTCTTCTGGTTGATGATTTCCCTCTTCTCCTAAAGAATATCACAACAGCATTAATAAGTACATATTCTTTGCTACTAATATCTTTTTACATAGAAATCCAGAAGAGGTAAGTCTTTTGTAACAATAACTAATTTTCTTTAAATGTGTTAACTTTAATTTGAAATTAAGCAAGAAAAATAATATACCGAGTCAGGATAGATAAAAAACTGAGCAAAGTTTTGAGATATAAAATGCTTAAGCAAAGAATGTGATGAGTTAGTTTCTAATTTCTTCATACTTAAGGCAATGTCATTCATATATTTCAACTGAAAATGTATTCATTATGCTCTTCAGCTCCACTGATTTCCATTTGAATGAGACTACATGTCACTTTAACTCAATATATGAAATGTGTTACTGGCATTCAACTTTTTAATAGCAGAGACATAATAAGGTCCAACAACTGAAATATAAATGGCAAAGTGAAATGAAGGTTGAGGAAGGGAACAAGATATTCAGTAAGAGCTTTTAAGGCTTTTAAATTACAATTAGATTAGACAACATTTTGAAGGGCAAACTGCAGGACATACAAACATCAGTAGGTTTCTCTTTGCTTTTTAATTGGGTAGATAGAATAACTCATCTATTCCAAGGATTAAGTGACAGTCTGACCCGTACAAAATTGCCAGCAGAATATGCCATATACTATATAGACAACCAGAGTGAATTATTTTATTACACTTTCCATTCTCAGATAATGGTTTTGCATAGATGTGGCTGGTACAAAAAAGTAGTTACACTATTTCCAAAAGGTACCAATGGGTAAAGCCTTCAGTACATTTACATGATAGCTGGTACAGACAAGCTCCTATAAAGTATTTCAGAGATCAGGAAATCTCCCAGTATGCTCACAGATAGTGTGTACTTTTTTTACTTAAATGAATATGACAAAATCAGGTAACCTTATCAGCTATTATAAATTGTGATTAAGGCTATGAGAGCTTGTTGTTTTTTTTTAAGAAAAGTTTGAAGTTATTTTTCTTCTTACATGTAAAATGGATAATTTTGTGACTCAAAGCACTCTTATGACATTTTAAAGTGCCCAGTCAGCTATTCTAGTTAGGTGCCACTTCTCCAGCAATGGGCTGGAGAAGTTGAGCATCAATATATTGTTTTCCTAAAAAAAAATTAAGTTAAAATGTATTGGTATAATTCAATTACAGAAGAACAAATTTTCTTGGTAACGTTTGACAAATAGAAGAGTTATTCTCATACAATAGCATATATTAAATACTCTAGCAATAATTGTTTTTCATTGTTAAAATACCTTATAACCTTGTTTATGCTGGAAAAATATATTGTTACAGCCTTGAAAAAATAATCCCTGAAGCCTGTAAAATTTCAAAGTCTTTAAAAAAAAATTTCTACGAATGTTAAACTTCATTTGGTTAAAATGTTTACAACATTGTTAAAGTTGGCACTGCAATGAAGCTTTGCAAATATAATAAATTAACTTCAAGGCCATTTTAATACCAAGCCAAGTACACTCTGCTTGTTTTCCAGTCTGCCCTGAGTCACAGCTAGTCTGCTGCAGCTCTTAAAAGGCCTGTTCCTGAGTACAATCAAAAATTAATTTCTAATGATGGCTGATCCATGATATTCTGAATTTAAAATGCAAGCATGTCCATTTTATCTATTTATATAAGTGTAACTGCATATACAGGTTTTTCTTTATTTTCTAGCTTTGCTCAACATGCTGTGCTGGGACTATATTTCCAAACATTTCCCATAAGCATGAACACAGATGTTTTATAGACAAATGCTATATATTCCTCTTTGAATATAATTGTGAATTCTTATGAATTCTACCATATATAGATGACTCACACACATTTTTGTTTTTCAGGTTAGTTAACTGATATATGGCTGCTTTGCAAAACTTCACCCATTCTCTGGAAGAGACTTTCAAGAAGATTTTCATTGACTATATGAACAATTGGCACAGAAATACCACAATGGAACAAAAGGTTTTGCAAGATCGAGTTGATGCTGAAAATTTAGATTATGTAATTTTGTATCTTATGGTAATGATTGGAATCTTCTCTTTTATTATTGTGGCAATTTTAATAAGCACAGTGAAATCAAAGAGACAAGAGCATTCCAATGACCCTTATCATCAGTATATTGTGGATGACTGGAGCGAAAAGCTAAAAAACCAGATTCTTTTCCAAGATGATCTTAAAGCCATTGTCCATGAAAATTGTGGAGCGAAGGGCAAATGTAATCCATAATCACCAAAAACTGAATTAAGTATTGAGTAACTGGGATCCCTAATTTAATGGCTTTAAAATGAGTATGCTAGAACTTGTATTCTATACATAATTATAGGATATTCAATTATGTTAATTATTAAGATTCAATATCTAATTATTAAGATTCAATATCTAGGCAGAGCATCAAAACAAAGCTTTCTAGACATCTTCATCAGCTCAAGAAATTACAAAGTGGGTTAAATTAGGGAAGCTAGTTTACATTCTGAAATTCTAGGCACTCTTTTAAGAATTTTTACAAGATTGAGTGATTAAATGAAGATTCTTCAAAGAAATTATAACAAATTATAAAAATACATTGACTGCTTTGTTGAAGAAAACGGGTGATTCTACCCAGACACCATGATATTCTTTTTAGAGGGATTTTTAATCTTCACCACCATCACCACCACTCTATTTTTCTGTCTGTGTGCTTCAACTACCCTGCCAATAGAAGAAACCAGAGGACCAAAACTCTGTCATCTCCAACTCTGTCCTTCTTCATGAAGCTGTAAGTGAACCCTTCCTGCTCAGTAAAACCCTTGGAATCTGCCACCCAGGAAGAGAGAAAAAAACTGCAATAATTATCTTTGGGTCTCTAGACTAAAAGACTGGCAATTTGAGAGGCAAGAAGCATGTAATGGAGTGAGCTCCTGTTCTTGCCCAAGCTCCTGACAAGCTAACAATTCAAAAGCTTACCAATGCTAGTAGATAAATAGGTATCACTTCAATGGGGCAGTAACAAATCCCGTGCACCTTGGCTTATAGTCATGCTGGTCACATGACTATGGAAATGACTTTGGAAAATGCTGGCTCCTTTGGCTAGGAAACGAAGATGGGCACCACCCCTTAGAGTCAGAATCAATTGGACAGGGGAAACCTTTACCTTATTGATTTTATGAAATGGATATCAGAGCTTCTTCTGTGAATCAGATGAAAAACACAGTAAGATGAATCAATAGGATTTCACCCTTTACTAAGGAACTTATTAATAGAATATCTGAAAGTTTTGTTTTATATAACCTAAAATTACAGTTCTTTTATGACTGTATGACTTTTATGACATTCAGTCTACTTAAAATCCATTAACACTGTGAGTTGTAGCTGTTATATGATAATCTGATACTTTTAAATGTATAAAGGTTATTACTATATATAGTAGAGCTTTTTGTTTAGAGGCTTCTTATCTTTCAGTAGTCTACACAGTGATTAATTATACTTTGCTTAATAAATAAAGTTTCTCAATGCAAAGAAAGAAAAAAGTAAGCTATTTGAATTCTGCTTCTGGGGTGTGGCGGACAATGTTATATTGGAGTTCTGCAACATCTTTAGAATGTAATGGCAAGTTAAATATCTTGGAATATGGCTAACTGCAAAGTGCTCAACGATAAAAGAAAATAATTATACAAAATTAGTGCAACAAATAAAAAAAGATCTAGAATTATGGGGGAAACTACAACTATCATTATTAGGGAAAATATCAGCGATAAAAACGAATGTTTTACCGAGACTATTATACTTATTTCAAACAATTCCCATAAAATTAGAAAAAAAATTTTTTTATTGAATTGAACAAGATTATATTAAAATTTATATGGCAAGGGAAGAAAGCTAGGATAAAGTTGAAAGCTCTACAGGATGACAGAAGCAGAGGTGGTATGGGACTCCCTGACTAGGAGCTTTATTACAATGCAGGAGCATTAACATGGATTAGGGAATGGATAAATTTAAAAAATAAAAGAATAC